GAATCCGTTTCTTGTTGAACCATAGGTTTCAATACTACCATCTGGTTATTTAACATAGCCATGGAAAATCACCATTTTTAATAGGTACACCATCTATAAATGGGCCATTTTCCATGGCTATGTTGAATCACCAGAGGGTAAGTTATGATCTAATGACTTGGAGGATCACTGGGGTCCCCTAAAAATCCATGGGTTGTCGCCCCAGCAATCCTTCGATGGGACGCACCTGCAAAGGCCTGCGCTGAAAGCAAGAGACCAACCTCCGTCTTCGACACCAAGAAGGGCGCAATCGGGACATAGCCGTTCTCCTGAGGAAAACTCCCCAGTGCTGGTAACGCATAGGGATGTCCCTGAAATATACATGGCCACTCCAGCCATATATATATATATATCATAGTGTGTATATATATACCATACAGTGTATATACATATCAACATCATACCTATATAGATAATCTGTATTATCATATATACATATATGACGTACATACAGTGTGTATATATATATACATATATACACACAGTATGTGTATATATATATATATCATGCATGTAGATCTATAGTTTTATATAGTTAAAAAAAAAACGTCAACTACAGGCACAATGGCAATCCAATCGAGCATCAATGTAGCAGACTCCGAAAATGACCAGTCTTCCAATTGACACCACCACGTGATGGGCATCTGCCACCATGGCACCCGGTCACAGTGGCTGGAAGATTCATGGAACAAATGCCATAAACCTACTGTTTGGAGATGGTTTATACGGTTTATACACCCCATTCATGGTGATTTTTTGGGATGGTTAATTGTTGGGTTTTGTATGGTTTTGTTGGGTTTACCACATTACTCCTCAATGGGAAAGTTAACTGCTTTTGTCTGCTATGAACCCACATCTTCTGGAATCAATTTTTCAAAAGCACATGCAATCACACTTACTTTATTGGGATATCATTTATCACCAACGGACCACGAACCCGCATCATTTCCTCGCCGTACTCTTGTTGTCTATATAGCATGGGAGCCAGCTGAAACGGTTGAATGCAATTGACATTAGAATTGGCTTCATTCATGGCTTTGCTTCATGGCTTTGCTGCTGGATGACTATGTTCCCTACCTCTCTGCGCGTCAACACCACAGTACAGTCAATCTTATCAAACTTCCCTGGCAGCCGCAAGTACTCCTATGCCCCTGGGTGCTTGAAGGTCTCCAGAGGTGCATAGGTGGGGAAACACCCCTATGGATTCGACACAGCAAAACTGAATTGACTGGCCACTTGGAAATAACAACTCCAGTTCCACGTCAGGCGAAAAGTTGCCAAGCCTTTTGTCGCTCCCAAACTGCCGCCTGGTCTGTCTTGGGGCACCTATCTTTGGACCCCGTTTTTTGGCACCGACGCCTGAAATCAATCCTTCCTGCCACAGCAGTGCTCATCCTATTGGAAACTCATTGGGATCGGTGCACCACAGGTTAACATTTGGCTCGGTGTAGCCCCAAATCCCAAAGCAAAACATAGCGCTCTGAAACTTTGCAAACAAAAAAACGGGGATCAACTAGTCCAATATGTTTCAAGATCAATCAGATCACTGCATCACTGTTACTCAACAAAGTACTTGACATTAGCAAAATGAATGTAATGTATACACTGTAGTTTAAAATAATGACCTTCATGTCGTCAAGGACGACCCACATGACTCTGCTCTGCTGTGGACGGCGCAGGAACTCGGCACGCCCACCGCAACAGCCCAGCTTTTGACGGACGCGCTGCGGTGATGAATGGCTCCCCGCGCAAGGCTGAGCCGAGGCTCCCGCACGTCATGGCTTGGACAATGGGTAGGATTGCATCGAAACAGGTTCACCTACAGTGAAGAACATCCCAAGAGATGTGTCGATGATATACACAAATATGATCAAGTATGTATGTTTATATATATATAATGCTATTATATAATTAATTTATATATATATTATGGCTCGCTTGTTTGTGGAACAAATATGGACAAGTACTTGGGATTAGCTGATCTTTGGGTGGTGTATCCTCACCAAACCCCTATGCACTCTGTGTATCCTCACCGACATCCAAGAAGACTCATGTCCAATACAGAGGTTTAAACACTGTACCCCAAAGTGGGATGTTGATCCACCCCCATCCACCCATATTTCATGTGATTTTGTGATCCCTACAATGCCGCGCAGGGCTTCGGCACAGCGGACACTCCTTGCTTGGCAAGGATGAAAATCGGTTTAGCCCCACCTGAGAGGAACCGGAGCATCCATGCCATGGTCATTCAACAGCTGCACCAGTGTGCAGCTTTCACAGGATGGCTAGCTTCGAAAGTCGTGGCGTATCCATGCTGTGTCGCTGTGAAGAGGCCACGATAAAATCAGCTACGTTGTTATGGATGTTTATAGTGTATGCTATATACATACATACATACATACATACATACATACATACATACATACATACATACATACATACATACATACATACATACATACATACATACATACATACATACACACAAAGACATACATACAGAAAGAAAGAAGACAGAAAGACAGACAAGACAAGAAATGTACATACATAAATAAAGAAACAACCATAAATACATAAATAACAGACATACAATACAATAAATATAATTGTAATAAAGGAAAGAAATACAGACATTACATACATACATTGACATACATACATTACAGAAATACAACATACAATGTACAGACATAAATACATACATTTAAATACATACATACATACAACAGACATAAATACATACATACATAACATAACATAATACATTACATACATACTACATGACATTGACATAACATACTGACATTAATAAATACATACATACATTTACATACATACATACATACATACATACATCACATACATAACATACATACATACATACATACATACATACAACATACTACTTACTTACTTACTTACTTTACATTTACATTACATGTACATACATTACATTACATACATACATACATATATACATATACATATATATATATACATACATGAAATTCTGTTGTTGAACATGATTCCACTGGTTTCTCAACATGATTCCACTGGTTTCCATCTCAACCTTGGAAGGACCTGGCCAGGTGCCATCTGCTACATGGGCAGCCACTGGATGTAGCTCGGTGGAAGTGATAATGAGACAATGAGCCCCAGAAATCTGGTCATGTTTAACCATAGAATTCGCAGATTTGGGGAAGAAATGTGTTCAACTTAAAACATGCGACCATCAGATGCCATCACTTGGGGACTTGTCTCAGGATCTGCACCTCCAAGATATAGACGTCGATGTAGATACAGATACAGATTAAATATTATTAGACGATGTAGATACAAATAACATACATATTATATATATATATGTGTGTGTGTGTATCAATTCCCCAAGTTTAAGTACCCTCCTCTAATCTAACCACTGGAAAATTCCTACACAGTAGGGATTTCCCAGAGTACTGAGCCGGGCCACCAAGGTCCAGTGCTTGCCCCGTTTTTGAGCTCTCACCATGGCGTTTTTTCGAAAAAACTGGCCTGGCGTTTTATCGGTGAAAATCATCCCAAAACCCAACCCCCCTGGGATTGATACCCTCTGGTAATGGCTGACGTAGCTATTGAGAATGGCCATAGAAATAGTGGATTTTCCCATGAAAAATGGTGATTTTCCATAGTTATGTAAACGTTTACCAGAGGGTATAATACACAATACTGCATTGGCTTGCCCAAAATTGGGGGATACCCCAACGTATTACCATTTCAATGGAGGCAAAATGATGAAACACGATAGGGATATCCTACTTTCCCAAAAAATAACGTCCACTGTCCAAAAAACATCCCAAGTCTCAAACCCCACAGACCGTCGCATATACCTGGAACCCAAATGACCATCCATTTTGTTGTGGGTCTATCATTGCAATTGTTCATATTATTACTATTGTTGGTATATGTTGGTATGCATATGTATGCTAGGCTATATATGGACATTTCTCAAAATGATGGACCCCCAAGTCCCAATGGGTTTCAATACTAAGTCATGGTCAAATTTGCATGATTTGGAGATACCCCCATGACTCAGCAAACCTCCATGTTTATGTTAGCTAAGTTCGTTTATATCACTTTCACTATGGTTTACGGTAGAAAAAAATAAATAAACTCAGGTGCTATCCCCAACAGCTTGAAAGCTTCCGCGTTTTGCCATAAAAAGTGCTTATGCCATAAAAAAGTAAGCGCCGCTTATGCCATAAAAATCAAGTGCTTATGCCATAAAAAAACATCGGAACCCTTTGGAATTTCACAAAGCATCTGCACCAGAACCCGCCGGAATCTCACAAGGTATCTGCACCGGAACCCTCCGGAACCTCACCAAGCATCTTCTCCGCCAAAACCCTCCGGAACCCCACAAGGTCTCTGCACCGGAACTTTCCGGAACCTCACAAGGTATCTGCCCCGGAACCCTCCGGAACCTCCGGAACCTCATCAGGTAGCTGCACCGGAAACTTCCGGAACCTCACAAGGTATCTGCACCGGAACGCTCCGGAACCTCACGAGGTATCCGCACCAGAACCCTCCGGAACCTACGAGGGTATCTGGCACCGAACGCTCCGGAACCTCACGAAGGTATACGCAACCAGACAGAAACCCTCCGGACCTTTCCGGAACCTGATGTTGAAGCTGACACGGGGAAAATTTTTTTTTTGACGCACCGGAGCTAATCTGGCTAAAGCCCCCATAGCAAAGTTTTGCTGTTGGGGAAGATATAACATGGATATTACCTATAGATATAACTTATAACTTATAACTCATTATAGTAATCATGGGGGATACTGTATAACATGTATACAACTATAGATATACTGTAACTATAGATATAACTTATAACTTATAACTCATTATAGTAATCATGGGGCACCTATCTTATATATATATATATTATATCCATCTATCTTTTTATATACCGAAACGATCTATCGCAGCTCCACCTGCACCAGACTGACGTACTTCCGACACGTCTGCGCCGTGGCGATGACCAGCACCAGCGCAGCCAGGCGCATCATCAGCTGAGCGAAGGCTTGGGAGCCAAGGCCGCCTTCCCAGCCTCGCCGCTTCGGCTGAAATGTCTGAAGAAATCGATGTGAAACATGGTGATTTCACACGAATTCGGATGTTTGGAAGAAAACTGGGAGGCTGAATAGTTCAGCTGAAAAGGATCGATGAATAGATGGATCTAAAATGAATTGAAGGAAAATTGATGGTTGAAACTTGAAACAATATCTTTTTTGCATCAAATATGGGGTCACCTGTGAAGTTGCCCTTGAACCAATTCTCAGCAATGATATGGTGATATGGGGTGGCAGTGATGGAAGTACACTGCGACTCAGACCAAAGAGTTGACTATTTGCCAACAAAATCGCAGGTTTCAGCAACAAAAATGGTGATATCAGCAGCCAAAGTTTAGGATTTCATCAATAATATTCAATAATAATCTATGGTGCCACGGTGCTCATCCTCATCATCATCCTCATCCTCATCATCATCATCATCATCATCAGTTTAGTTTATCTTCGGACAAAAAAAAAAGGACTCGTCATCTAATCATCTATGGTGCTCCCTTGGCTGTGAAAAAGTCATGTCATTTGGGTTCATCCACTCCTCAAAACAATTGGGATCATCTGAAATCAGCTGGATTTTCAACCCATCCAATCGGGCTATGTATAGAAGAGATTTCGGCTTTTGGGCCACTGCCAGCTGTAGATGTGAAATGAAGTTTGTCTTGAAATTTCCATGACCTCCGGGTCCCAACAGGGATAAATGAAGCCTCAAACCTCGATGTTTCACAAGAATGCACCATCACGGCACATTGATTGGGGGATCCTGTTGAAGCCAATGGATCCGAGGCTCCAAGGTCGAAAGCATCCGGCAAAACGTCAAAACAAGCCGTGAAAAGACCCTGAAATGATCAGGAAATCCCTCGGGATGAATATTGAAGTACATTAAATTAAATCAATAGTGGAAATATATTGCTATAGGGAATAGATCATTTCTAGATACCCATCAGTTTATGACCCCTTGGACCTTATTCCCCCAACCTTTCCTGGCCGAGTCGCCACATTCCTCGGGCGGCTCTTCCGCCGGTGTTGGCTTCTCTTCCCTCACAACCCTGGGACTGTCGAAGTGATGCCGCCTCAGCGGAGCCAAAATCGGTGGGTTCAACCAGAGAAACGCGAAGAAACAATGGAAATCACCACTTTTTTGACCATTCCCCTACCATCCCCCTACCACCCCTTCGGTTCAGGCGCAGCCGGTGGTGCCGCAGCACCTGGGATGACTCTCCGAAGTCCTCCTCAGTCTCGGTCTCCCAAAACCACGGCAGGCAGCAGCTGAGGCTCAGCAGGGAACCAGCCCCCACACTTGCAGCGCCCCGCTGTCGCTTCCTTAGGGTACTGATTTAATCAATCTGGAGGCCTTGAGGATGATGAACAACAAGAACATTTGGGGGATGCAAATTAGTGGGAAGTAAAGAAAATAACAGAACGGGGAGATCGTCAACATCAATGAATGAAGGTTGATAGAAACAATGAAGACCGGTTCATATGTTTGGTTTGCATCTTCAACTTGCATGCGGCTCTCAAATATTCCCACATATAACCCCAACAAGTTATGAAATGACTAATCCATTTTCACCTGCACCCGCCATCAGTCAGGTTTTACCAAAGAACAGCATCTCCAAGGCACTGCATCAGCACAGAGGACGACGAAGGATTGCGCACCAGCTCATCCTCCCCAGAGCTATCCACCGTGATCTTCAAATCGGCGATCTTCATGGTGGAGGTCCAACCTCACCAAGCCCGGGGCGTCAGCATGTTCCCAGTGGGATGTTTCAGGGCCAGCACCCTAACCCAGAATCATATCAAGGCCAGCAACTGTCATTGCTCCAGGTGAACCATAGAAGTCCAGAAACGCCCAACGGTCCACAATGGCCAGAAACGGCACCTGATTTGAGTGCCACGAGCTTGGCTACATCTTACACTTGCATGGTCAAATGTTTGGGAATCCACCTGTTTTTTTGATACTAATATTGGGGGTCGAGCCGCTTCATCCACGGGCCAACCACTTTGGTGGGACATGTTGAAAGTGATGACACACTGAGTGGTGGAAGGGTTTCAGGCATGTAATCCATGAAACATAGCGCAGAAGCGCAAAATGGAAGGCCGGAGCTTCTTGTTCCTCTTGTTGATCTCTGACAAGATGAACACACTTGACCAAACTTGAACACACTCATAAAATCAGTTTGTGCTTAGTGTATCCTCATCATCATCCTTTCAGCGTTGCAAAAGATTCAAAAGATCCAGGGCCGGGCCTGTCACCCCTTGCATTGGGAAGACTTCATGGGTCACAGGACCTCGGAATCGTCGGAATGGTGTCCGGCACGTGCATTTCTGGCACCATTGGTCCCATGGAATACGGCCATACCGGCCACAGCCTGAAAATGTCACTGCTCAAATGGAGCAAAATCAAAGGGTTTTGCGACTATCATGTGCACATGTCGCCCGTCTTCAGCGTCACTTCTTGGAAAACCCGTTGTCCGCAACAGGAAAAACATGGCCAAGTTCAGAGACCCCTGACTTAATATAACTTACCTAACAGTACTCGATGCTGACAGGATAACTTACCTAACAGAAGACCTGAGCAACCCCGTTCGATTGAATAAAACGACCCCACAATTCTGGTCATGTGCAACTGCTATTCCATCCGCTTGGAATATTGTCTTGGAATATCATATGTTTCTCGGATACAATATACTCAATATACCAAATCACAAACCTGAAATCAAGGCATATGGGCATGATTCCCCCATATATGAACCATAATTCAAGTGAGGTCGTTATATAATTCATCTACATAATCCATATGATTTTCCATAAGTTTTCAATATACATGCTAAAAAACACCATATTTGATTCTTAAATCAAGTTAAATCATGTCAAAACATCATTTTACACCAGGAGTTTCTTCAACATAAGCATCCTTTTTTAAGGTCCTGATTTTTTTTCCATCTCCATTCTTACGACCAGAGACTGGGTCGGCCATCCTCGACCTCCTCGAAAAAAATCACCTCGCTTTTAGGAAGTTGACGAAGCCCCAAAGAGAATGGGCTGTGAATGATTCAAAATTGGTGGTAGAACGGTGGTAGGTGATATAATGGTGGTACAGTATATTGTTGGTATAGTGGGGGTATAAAACCAAGCTGTTCTGTTGGATTTCAATCTCTGGGTCCGGCATTGGTTCGTGTCTTTGCAGGGCCAAAAAAATGGAATGGAACCGGACCGCTGGAATCCGAAACCCGACAATCTGCTGCTGGGTTGCAAAACTCAGTACTGTACATGGTGTAAAACCAATCATTCTATGTATGTAGAATGGGTATGTAATCCAAAACTAATTCTACGAAAAAATGCATCGCTAAATGCTAAAAACAACCATGCATACCATATTTTTGAGCCATACAAAAACGGATCCTTCTGGTGTGTTTGGGAAGAATTCACGTCGTGCATCTCAAAGACTTCTTGTTAGGATTTCGTAGAATCTTACTTTGTCCCTGGGTGGAGACTTGTTTTCCGACCAACTCTGAAGGTATAAATGCATATAAATGCATGATATACTTGTGTTATGTAGCTGGACGACGTTGCGGGTGAGACAAAGCGGCACAACTCAAGTAATTCACCCACTCGAATGCCGCCAAGCACCTGCAGCTGCAGGTAGCACCCGGGGGGCTGCACTTCAAAGAACCATTGTGCTTTGCACCCTGGGGAAAGCACGCGGTACCTCGCAGGACTGGACTAGAGATAGCTTTGTAGTCAGCGCTCATGGTGGACCAACTGTGCCATTACCAGAGGGCTGGCGCCCCAAGCTGACACCGAGATCTGCACAGGTTTATGGGTGGATGTGTCAGCAGTGTGTGTCCGTGCAATGCGCAGAATTTTATCCATCGATCCCGATCCGATCCGATCCGATCGCATCGGGCACTGAAAACTGGACCTCCCCGGAGGCCAATCCATGGACGCATCCCTCTCTCCTGCCGATGACTCCGACATCTGGGAACGGATTCTCCATCGGGCTTTTTCAGGCGCGAAAAAAAATTGGAAACCAACAGCTTCTGTCATAAACCATATTCAAAACCCCTACCACATCCTATCACCCTCTGGAAACTCTAGTGGAATGTAGTTGAAAATCAGGGGTTATTGTGATCGGCAGAAGGGATTACAGTAATCACCAACTCACCAACCAACCAACCAACCAACCAACCAACCAACTAACCAATCATTCGTAGTTTGCATCCCCAGCTTTGTTGTTTAAATCCATAAATCCTGACTTTTGGATCTCCCCTCACTTCTTGACAGTTTCTCTCCCAGGAACCTCGTATGTGCCATGGTCAAAACAGGGTAAACGTGGTATGGTCTCATCGCCCCACCCCTCCCAGATCCCGGGCTCCGAGGTCTGCGAGCGCTTGTAACGCAGAGGTGCCCGTCATGGCCGCCAGTTTCTGAGGAAATTCGAAGGGCCCGTCAGGGATGAAGACGAACTTCCTGGGAAGAAAACAGGCCAGGATAAAACCACGAGACATCTTGATGTGTGCACAGATATGTATACATCAAGATGAATAGTGATGTAGATTTCGAAATAGGAAAGAATGTAAATACTGGTATGATAAAGAATTCAGATAAAGATATACAACAATCTATAGTTATAGATGTGATACTTCCCCCCAACCAACATCCCGTGCTGAGAATATCGAGGCGCTGCTTGATTCGTTGGTTCAGCATTGGCTGTACAGCCATCCAGAGCATGTTGAATCCTAAGCACATCCAGGTGAGCCCTCAACAACTGCGGCTTGCAGCTTCCGGCCTCTGCCAAGATCTGCCAAGTCACCAGCAGGTGGATTCACAATAATCATTTTGGACAAGGTCTCAGGATAGGCTGTACTGATGATCTTAAAGACGTCTGCAAGACCTCAAACAAAAAACGTGTGCGCAGAAAAAGGGGCATTCATTGAATGGAAGGAAAATGAATGTCAAAAAAAAATTATATAAACACGATGAATTGCTGCAAACCAAACAGCTGTGTTCTAAAAAATGTGGCTTTCCAAAGTCTTCAAACAGTGAAACCCTGGGCGTCAGCACCTAGGACCCCCTTTTGCCTTGGCGGCCCAAAATACAAAAAAGACCTACCATTTACCAGAGATTAGCAACAAAAAAAACGGCGCTGTAAACTCTGTAGACCATTCCATTGACACCCAGCTGCGTTTCATCACGGCACGGTTTCGCACCACTGCGGAGATGTTTAACCCCGTGAGATCGCGGACCTGCCATGCCAGATTTTCATGCGCGGAACTGGTGGCCATGATCACTAACATACTTACTGCGGTTGTTTTTATACCTGGGTGTGTCTGCAAATTAAGGGAAAACGCTAAAATTGACTGGTTAATAACAATATTCCTAGCATTAGAAGTGTTTCCTTCTGCTAAAGTTCCCTTTTTCAGACACACCCCACCATATTGCTGGTGATATATCCCCATTGCATTCCACTATGTCCGGTTATATTCCAAGTGAATCCCATTGAATCTCCATCAAATCCCAATGAATCCCCATCAAATCCCAATTAATCTCCATGAAGTCCCCAATTTGCACACCACCTGAACGAACTTCACCAGGCGCTGTGATTCCTCGCTGCATCTGTCCAGGTGCATCTCTCGAAGTTCACCTAAGGATATATGGGGATTGGCCAAAGCCTATTGTTAAAAAAAATAAACTCAGGTGCTATCCCCAACAGCTTGAAAGCTTCTGCCTTTTTGCCATAAAAAGTGCTTATGCCGTAAAAATTGTGGCGCTTATGCCATAAAAAACATGGGAACCCTTTGGAATTTCACAAGGTATCTGCACCGGAACCCTCCGGAAGCGCACAGAACCCTCTGGAGCCTCAGCGGGCTAAATACCCCATAGCAAAGTTTTGCTGTTGGGGGAAAAACTTCCATTAACCGGCTAGTCAATATGGCTATTAACAGCTATATGGATATATAATAACTATGTGGATATATATGGTCCCGTGTCCCGTGTTCCCACCCCCCCCCCATGGGATGGGGGGGGGTATGATGCCCCTGTGGTGGTGTATATACATACATACCTACATACCTACCTACCTACCTACATACCTACGTACATACATACATACATACCATTACATTACCTTACATTACCTTACCTTACCTTACATTACCTTACCTTACATTCCATACATACATACATACATACCATTACATTACATTACCTTACCTTACATTACCTTACCTTACCTTACATTACCTTACCTTACATTCCATACATACATACATACATACATACCATTACATTACATTACCTTACCTTACATTACCTTACCTTACATTACCTTACATTACCTTACCTTACATTCCATACATACATAAATACATACATACATACATACACAGACACACACAGACATACATACATACATACATACATACATACATACATACATACATACATACATACATACCAGCATACATACATACATACATACATACATACAGACAGACATACATACATACATACCAGAATACATACATACCAGCATACATACCAACATACCAACATACCAACATACCAACGTACCAACATACCAACATACCAACA